GAGGGCATATGTGTGAGTGTGTGTGAGGGCATATGTGTGAGTGTGTGGGTACATATGTAAGTATATTTGTGAGAGCACGGGTGAGCGTGTGTGTGTGTGTGCAAGCTTACATGTGTGCGTGTGTGTATTGGCGTGCAAGCGTGCATGCGTGTGTGTGTGTGTGTGTGTGTGTGTGTGTGTATTGGAAGCTACTCTCTGCTGGGGCCCTCCAGGTCTCTTCACCTGGGATTCTGTGGCAGTGCCTCCCACGACAGGGGCCTTATTCATAGTCTGGACACTTAAGTGTTCTTTTCTATTTCAGACCTTCATGTCTGACTAGAACACTTGGTTGTAGTGTGACAGTTTCTCTGGGCCCACAGTTATCTTAGAATGATCTTTCTCCTCTGTGGCCAAGCAAATGGTTCTTGTTTGGGCCTTGATGAACATAACCTATCTTCTCTCTGCTAGACATTGTGCTGAGATGGGAGGATCATGGCTTCCAGACCAGCCAGGGTTATGAGACTTTTGTCTTAAAAAGTAAAGTCAGGAAAGAGCAAAAGTAAAACAAGCGAACACATAAGAACTGCAGCACTATCAAGAACTGCTCATTACCGAGGAATCACGCCGAAGGTCTCAATCGCAAAAATAGTTGTTAGGTTGCAGAAACTGCAAATTAGAAAAAGTGATATTAAAAGTTGATCTAAATGTATTTAGAATATCATCTGCATCTCTATGCTAACATTCAGATCATATGTAACTTTTTTAAGGTGTCATTTTTTTTTGACAAGGACACAATAGATAGATGCACTTACAGAACAGTTATGATTTTTTTTTCCTTTGGTGCAAATTTACGGGAGATAACCATGCTGTCCTCACAGAATTGCACACTTTGGGTGGTAGTTTCCAAGGCAATGATCGTAATGACATTAATAATAATAATGAACAATCATAAGCCTCTTCAGAAGTACTACACAGTTAACTGCTGCACACTGAGCCCTATGTTCACTGGAGATGGGAGCTAAGTGAACATTTACTACATGCCTGGTGTGTGCAGAACACAAAGTTGGGGCTTCTCACCCAGGCACTGAGTGTACTTCTCAGAATAATATAAAGACAGGGATTAGTGGCCACTTATAAATAAATTAGCAATTTGCTTAGTTCTAAATTTTACTCTGTGTGATTAGAACATGGAAGGCCACTGTCCTGGGTGGTAGTGGTGCACGCCTTTAATCCCAGCACTGAGGGTGGGGCAGAGGCAGGCAAATCTCTGTGAGTTTGAAGTCAGCCTGGTCTACAGAGTGAATTCCAGGACAGTCAGAAAACAGAGAAACCCTGTCTAAAAAAATCATTTAAAAAAGAAGAAGAAAAGGGATCATTGAGTAGCAGATGGAAAGATGATGTAATAAATTGGGCATTTTAGGATATGTGTATAATCATGTACAATCACATAACTTGGAAGGCTGAGTCAAGAGATCGCAAGTTCTAGGCAAGCCTTGACTGCCTATGAAACTCTATCTCAACAAAGACACAACTTCACAATACAAAGAAGTAGACAAGTCCTTACTCCCCACCTCCCAAGACAGGGTTTCTCTGTGAAGCTTTATCTGTCCTGGGAATCGCTCTATAGACCAGGCTGGCCTCAAGCTCACAGATATCCACCCATCTCCGCCTCCCAAGTGGTGGAATTAAAGGTGTATGCCACCACCGGCTGGTTCACAAGTCCTGACTTTTAATCAGACACTTTAACACTCCTCTTTCAGATTTCAGAAAGTAACAGGGCAAAGTATACAGAAAACTTGTCTATCAGATTAAGTTTGTGGGTGTTAGAGATTCATTATCCTGTTGTATGGGAATGAATCTGTCATTGCTATGGTCAAACACCCGATACAAACAGCTAGAGGAAGGAAGGGTTTACCTTGGCTCATAGTTCATGGCATAGATAGGTAGAGTCTATCATGATATAGATAGGTATAGTCTACATTGTATAGATAGGTATAGTCTATCATTGTATAGATAGGTATAGTTTATCGTGGTATAGATAGGTATAGTCTGCCATGGCACAGATAGATATAGTCTATCATGGTATAGATAGGCATAGTCTATCATTGTATAGATAGGTATAGTCTATCACAGAATAGATAGGTATAGTCTATCATGGTACAGATAGGTATAGTCTATCATTGTATAAACAAATATAGTCTATCATGATATAGGTAGGTATAGTCTATCACGGTATAGATAGGTATAGTCTATCACGGTATAGATAGGTATAGTCTATCACGGTATAGATAGGTATAGTCTATCACAGTGGGGAAGCACGGCAACTGGTCACACAGCACCCACATGAGGAAGCAGAGAGTGACGAATGCCGGAGCTCAGCTCATGTCCTCTTTTTCATCTGGTTGGGGACCCAGCCCACAGAATTGTGCTGCCCACAGTTTAAAGGGTGGGTCTTCCCTACCTCGGTCTAATCTAGAAAAATTCTTCACAAACATGCTCAGAGACTTGTCTCTGGTGATTCTAGATCCTGGCAAGTTGACAATATCAACCATGCATGACAAAATGTAAAGACTGTTTAAGGAGGTCTTTTGAGATGGATTAATTAGCTATGAGTTTCTCGTCCACCTTGAGGTAGGGCCCAGAAGAAATGGTTCACGACAGCACTGAAAATTGCGTCTATGTCAGAAGCTAACCACTTAGCTTCTGAGTCCTGAGGTTTCAGGAAGAGGATGCTGCCATGGAAATGGGCTCTTCCATTTTGGTTAGGATGATGCAAAGCCTAATGGGTTTATAATTGGAGAAAGAAAGTATGTTTACCACCAGAGAAACACAATGCAAATGACTGGGCTGGAATGAATCTTTGCGAAAGGATAGCTGGTTATTGGCCCTCTTTGGCTGATATGACAAGGGTTGGGTTTGGAACACAGCTGTAGATACTTGCCTCACATGTGTGAGGCCTTTGCTCAGTTCCAGTATTGCAAAGAAGTAAACAAATGAAATTAAATAAGTAAATCAACATGGCCTACCTAGGACAGGACCTCAAAGGATGGGAGGGGGGGCAGTAGAGATGCTGCCAAGCATGTGCCACTGAGATTCTGTTTTCAGGACTGAAGTATTTGTTTCCTCTCAAGGGGACCAGTGTCTCTCAGGACTTGCCCTCTGCCAAAGTTACAGCCCCTTTGGGGAAAGTCGATTCCAAGGGCTAGTGATTCAGGGGCACAAAGAACTTGTGCCTTTCTGCCAGTTCAGAAGAGCTCTGCTAGGCATCTGACCCCAATGTTCCTTGTGAGATCAACCGAAGGCTTCATTGGGGCTGCAGCTTAGCCTCCTTCTTTTTCTCCCCAGTTTTATTTCCTTCACTTCCTCTAAAGGTGGTGATCTCAGGTCACTTTCCAATAAACCTCCCATACATAAGTCTATAATCACAAAATCTGCCTCCTGGGAAACCTGAGCTATGAAGTGTAGACCACCTCTCTTTCGGTCATCCGGCCAACTTTCCAGAAGACTGGCAAATCCGGAGCACTGACGAAATTGTCAGGAGCTCAGTAGAGGCTCTTCCCAGGGTTATCTAATCATGGACACATGGCTGATAAGCAGCCAATCATTTGATAAAGTATTTTCCCCTTCACTACTCCACTGGCCTCACAGCTTTGTTTTTCCCCCAGGGCTACATCTGCTCTATGAACCTGCTGCCAGAGAGTTTTTTTTTTTTTTTACACAGAATACCTCACAGGACATTATGCTGATGCTGACGTTGTGAGATACAAGCTCAGCTGGTGAAACATAGGTCAGGAAAGTTCCACGCATGTGCCTGGAAGGGTGAAAGACAAGTCCTTTCTGGCTCCCGTGGCTCATGTCCAGATAAAAGAATTATCTGATTTTATTGTTGCTGATATTGTTTTACTTTTATCCACTTTGGATTTTGGAGGTAACCTATATCACATTTGCGTGGACATATATGTTGTGGGATATTTGATTTGATTGCACTGTGAAACCCCAGACTGTGTTAATAAAATCAACCTTGGATCAGGAGGCAGAGTCAGCAACTAGTTGACAAGAATTAGCAGTAGAGTAATGGAGGACCCAGAAAGACAGAGAGAGAGAGACATACAGGAAGGAGGGACTTAGAGATTCATGGTCTTTTAAGTTTGGGAAGAATGGAGAGATGTTCTCTTGCTGGGTCGCTGGCTAAAAGGAAGGTCAGTCGGTTGCTTCTTGGCCTCTCTGAGCTATCAAGTTTTCACCCCAACATCTGACTCCTGAGTCTTTAATGGTAGATAGAATGATAGAGACTTAGTTAAAAACTACATTTGACAGTAGAGACTGAGCTGGTACTGGTAGGGATCAGGAATCTCGCTAGGCTGTGGCCTGAACTGTGGAGCAGGGCAGCAAGGCTGCAGATGGTGGTTGGCATATCACTAGATTCAGGTGTAGCTGCTAAACCAATGGAAAAACAACTATCCATACACACACACACACACACACACACACACACAGAGAGAGAGAGAGAGAGAGAGAGAGAGAGAGAGAGAGAGAGAGAGAGAGAGAGAGAGAGGAAAAACTGCTAGACTGGAACCTGGGACAAAGATTTTTCTCCATGTTGCAGGTGGTACAAACAGCACAGCTGTGCTGAGATTTGGCTCTCCTGACTTGACTCCATAGCTCTGGTGACCATGAAACCTTGGCTGCCTTTAGACACGTGTCATTGCTAACGTCTAAGACAGACGTGATCTGTTGCAGATGTGATTCTGTCCTGAAGTGCAAGAGATGTGTATAAAAATGGCCTCACATGCCTTTAACAGTTGACCGAGAGTGCCCATTTGCTGAGACATCGAGCATTCTTCATGACTTCACTGACTATAAGGGAAAAGATGAAAGAGATTTGCAGATCGCTGTGAATTTACATGGGGACAGTTGTGGCCCTGCTTAGGGAAAGTCGAGAACAGGCCTTCCTGTGGGTGTTTCCTCACCTTTCCTCGAGGATCACGGGCTGTGCTATGTGACAGGAATTGAATGTTTGATGCATGGTGAGGATATGGAAGAAATAAAATCATGTTTAAGGGAAGCATGTGTAAGTAGGCTCCCCAGTGAGATCCTGGAGTGCTCAAACATTTGGGTCTCATGTGACTGTTGATCACCCGAGAAGGGGCTCTTCCTTTGTCATGTGACTGCCCTCTAGCTAGCATCTTTCCCCAGCTGCCCAAGTGCTTATTCAGTGGAATCATGAACATCATGGCCATGGTGCCTGGTGTGGCTTCACTAGCCATGAGGCTGATCTGATACTGACACTACCGAGCACTGGATTTTCTAGCAGCAGCAGCAGCCGCTGCCACCACCGCTGCCACCAGTCGGAATCACCACATGGGGGCATTAATCCAGAGGCACTGGACAGCTATCTGCTGGTGGGCGGCTTTATCACATAGAAGACAATGATCCTTTCTTCCTGTGACATGCTTGGGTTTGAATTTGCCTTTTTTAGTGTGGCTTCTGCCTGAAGCATTAGACACAGGCACTCTGAGTGCCATGGATTTTTATCATGCTCCAACAAGATTGCTTTTGATCAGGGAACTAGAAGGCAAGAGGGCTGATGTGCACGAAATTCTCTGGCCTCCTAGAGTAGTGGGTATTCTTTCAAGGCATCTTTTGTATTAATAGGGTGATCTTCT